ACCAAACGAACGTCCCGTTTCGTGTGTTAGTAACCCAAAAAGAGCTCCCAGCTCTGCGACCGGATGAAATGTCCTTGATTTCATACTGGTGAAAATAAGAAGCAAGTGCAAGGGGGTAACGTGCTTATATGAACTAATGAGATAAGGGGTTGTCAGAGTAGCTCAAGAAAATTCAGGAAACAGGCCCAACCAATGTTTGTCTAGGCTATGTTGTCTTCTTTCATCAGCTCGTGTTAGTAGAGCAGAGGCAAGTTTATTCCATACTGGCGCAACCTGGTTTGTGAAGCGCCCGGCTATAACTGCAACCTATATCTTTGCCGCTTAGATTCCTGCAATTGCTCTACAATTGTCTGGCGTAGCCGGTTCATATAGATCCGTGGGTCTGCGACCACTGCGACGTTGCATGATGTTGAACGTATCTATTAAGCTATCTCTCGGTCTGCGCCTTCTCATTGAAGGCAAATTTAATCAAGCTAACCCATCGTCATACAATAACGTACAATAACGTTACCTCATTCAGGTGGCCAATTTTTGCAGCTTTTAACTACAAGTAATATCTTTCTTCATGTATGGTGAACAGGCCTAAACACAGTATTCCAGATGTGGTCTGAGTGCAGCTTTGAACGAGGGGAGTAAGCTCTCTGGCTTTATACAACTCATAACACGTCTGAGACGAAATAACTCCTGTCGTGCTTTATTAACCACACGCCTGCCCTGCTTCGAGAGCTTCAGTCCACTGGTCACGATGACACTTAGATCGCGTGCCTCGGTGACGTGCTGCAAGGTTAGGGACTCATTAGCTGTCTGCATAGTCAAGTCTTATCACGCGTGGTTAGGATTTTACATTCCATAGTGTTCCGTGGTAAATTCCACAAATGTGGTCAATTAAAAACGACAGCAACATCCCCAGATAATGTACCTTGTCTCCCTTGCAAGCAACCTTTAAGCCGTCAGCAAAAATATAGAGGGTGCTTCAAGCGGAGGAACCACTTCCTTTATTAACATGAGAAATAGCAAAGGACCGAGTATTGATCCCTGGAGAACTCAACTCTACACAGTGCCTGCCGTCGAAATAACGCCACCAACCCCGATAAATGTTGAAGGTGGGATTATCCGGCATTGTAGTTGTCCCCGATGTAGTATGAAGTTTGGTGAAATTTAACTAGCATATAGAGGGTGGCGTAGTATGGTGGATACCCACCTGAGCAACATAAGTGGCCACATATAATAAGGTTATTGAAGTCAAAGGCGTACCGCGGAATGGAAAACGGTATCCGAAAAGAGCGATATCGTGCGAGTTGTGTGCGGATTGGTAACTGTAATGAAACGAAACCTCTGCTGCTAAATGACTAACTGTGCAGGCTTCAAAGAAGTGTGAGTGGCATATGCCAAAAAGGAAACTGAAGGCAATTCATTAGGAATGTGCATGGAAAGTTTCTGTGCAATAGGGTTCCTTTGCAAACATGCGCGCCTCCTGCCGAATGCATCCATACGGTACTCACGGAGGTCGGAATAACTTAGAGTACTAATTGTAGTGCATTGATGGTAGCCGAGGACTAAGAGGCACTCTTGAATGGATATGCGCATGGCGCACTTGTTTTATAATGTCTGCAGGTG